GAGCAGGCCCTGTTCCTGGCCGTGGGGTTTGGTGACTTCTCTCACTCCTCTAGGTTCTCCCCCGCCTGGGAGGCCTCCCGCCTGCTCCCATCCTGCTCAGAGCTCCGCCAGGCCTGCGCGGGAGCCTCTGGGGTGCTCAGAGCGCTCTCCGGCTCTGGCCTTCGGTCCTGTGAGCATCCGTGACCTGGGTCTCCCCGACTCCCAGCTCCTCCTCAGCCCCAATGGGCCACCTCTTCTCCCAGAGGTGGAGGTGTCTCACCCTCTGTGCCCGGGCCCCAGGCAGTGAGCTGCAGCTGCCATCCTGGCCTCTGCTCTCTCGGGGTCGCTGTCCATCCTGGCTCTGGACGAATCCGGCCCTAAATGAACCACGGAGGGAGAGAGTGAGACTTGGCTCTGTCTTACTCTCAACTCCAAACTGCATGTTTACTCTTAAGCTAAAATAAAATGCAGTGTCTTTGTGCGGGTCTTAATGTGTGCAGCTAAAGTATGACTCACGACTCATTTTTGAAGACCACAGATATAAAGAAACATACATCAAAGAAGCAGTCTTTGTCATACCATTTTAGGGTGGTAGGTAGTGTTTCTCTCTCTCTCTCCCAATTACTTAATTTTTACATTTTACAAATTACACTTTCTGCCTAGATTTTGGGAAGTAGAGAGAAGGGTGAAGCTTCTCATTGGGAAGTAGCTCTCAAGGTGTCCCACTTGCTCTGGCTGGTGTGACTCAGTGGTTAGAGCGTCCGCCCACACACTGAAGGGTTGTGGGTTTGAGTCCCGGTCAAGGGCACATACCTGGGTTGTGGGATTGCTCCCTGACCCTTGGCCAGGGCATGTGCTCGAGGCAACCAGTCAATGTGTCTCTCTCACATTGATGTTTCGCTCTCTCCCTCTCTTTTCCTCTCTCTCTCTCTCTCTCTCTCTATCTCTCCTCTCCCTCCCTTCCTCCCTCCCTTCCACCCTCTCTGAAAAGCAATGGGGGGAAATCCTCTGGTGAGGATTAACAACAACAAAAAAGATGTCCCACTTGCTCAATATTGATAATAATAATGCATTACTAGGTCAAAACAAAATTTAATTCAGATGCTGGATGTTCAGTTTAATAAGAACTATTGACAGAACTAACCGGAAAAACAATCTCCTGCACGCTCCCTACTGGGGATTGAGCCTGCAACCCGGGCATGTGCCCTGATCGGAAATTGAACTGTGACCTCCTGGTTCATAGGTCGACACTCAACCACTGAGCACACTGGCCAGGCTCAGATCTGCCTTTTAGTTCAGTAATTATTTCTTCATTTTGTGACTAATCTGCTAATATTTTACTGACAGTTACTTGTCATTTGTAAAAGTCCTATGTATCTCTTTGTCTGATATAACTCTTGTCCTTTTTACCTCACTCCCGCTCCTGGGCCCTAGCAGCAGTTGGTCTGTTCTTCATCGGAAGAGTTGTGCCTTTTCCAGACGGAGTCATACAATGGGTGACTTCTCAGGATTGCCTCATTTCACTCAAGATAATGCCTTTGGGATTCATACATGTTGTTGCATGTGTCAGTCCGTCTTCCTCTTTATTGCTGAGTAGTATTCTGTTGTATGGATATTCCACAGTTTATTCATCCATATACCCGTTGAAGGGCATTTGGGTTGTTTCCAGTTTTTTACTATTATGAATAGCAGTGCTATAAAGGGTTGTGTAGAGGATTTTGAGTGAATGTAAGTTTTCATTTCTCTTAGTCGGAGATGGACAAACTTTGATTCACAGACCAACTGCCTATTTTTATAAAAGAAATTTTATTAAGACACGGTCATACCCATTCCTTTGACTATTGTCTATAGTTTCTTTCATGAGGTAATTGTAATAGAGACCATATGGCCTGCAAGCCTGGAATATGTACTGTTTGCCTTTTAAGGAAAGTTTACTGACCGGTTCTAGGGTGAATACCTGGGGGTTGGACTGGTGGGGCATATGGCAAGTGTGGGTTTTATTTATAAGAAACTGCCAAGCCGTTTCCGGAGGGCGGCACCTGGTGTGTTGGACCAGCAGTGTCCGAGGGTCCTGGCGGCTGCACCTCTCTCCAGCACTCGGTATGTGAGCGTTTCTAATCCAGCCATTCTAGTGGGAGGGTAGATTAGATCGCTTTCCTAGCGGTTAGTCATGTAAACGTGTTTACATCTGCTTACTTGCCATCTGTGTATTTCCTTTAGTGAAGTTTATGTCTAAGTCTTTTGCACATTGCTTCATTGGGTTATTTGTTTTCATACTGTTTTGAGAGTGTTTTTTTTTTTAATACATTCTGCATATAAGTCCTTTGTCATATATGCAATTTCCAAATATTTTCTTATTCTGTAGCTTGCCTTTTCATTTTCTAAAACATATCTTTCAAAGGGCAAAGATTTTTCATTTCAAGAAGATATCATGTTTTTGTATAATGTCAGAACTTTTTGCTTAACCCCTGGCCTTGAAGATTTTCTTCAAAATTTTAAGAAATTTTTATAATTCTCTCTTTTACATTTAGATCTATGACTCATTTACATTTAGTGTAATTGTTTATATGTTCAGATTCAGGTCTACCCATTCAGTAGTTGTCCTTTTTTCCCTTTTCTGGATTATTTGAATACTAGAGACCTGGTGCATGGATTTGTGCACATTGAAAGGAAATTAATTAGCCACACCTGGGCAGCACCGGGGCTCAAAGGGCGTCTGTGGAGTGAGCAGGGTCCCTCCAGCAGGTGGGGTCCCTCGGCCTGGCCTGCAGGGATTGGGCTGAAACTGGCAGTTTGACATCCCCAAAGAGGTCCTGGAGTGTGAGAGGGCACTCTGCAAAGTTGCTGTTGTTTGGCAGCTCCTGCATTGAGCATCTGCCCCTTGGTGGTCAGTATGCATCATACCTACCGGCTGGTTGCTTAGCCTTTTATATATATAGACTTTTAGTATTCCATTTTAATATGATTTGCTCTCTCTTATCTATAACATATCTATACTAATAATAGACAAATATGTAAATTGACCATCCCTCCATGACACCCACAGCCAATCAGGAGTGAGTATGCAAATTAACCCAACAAAGATGGCGGGCCTGTGGGCAGTATGCACTCGCGCAGGCACTGAGCGGCCGGGGGCGGGGCGGGTGGAGAGCAGGCGGCTTGGGGGGCTTGGCTCCTTCGGTCACCCCAGCTTCCTCATCGCCACCGTGGAGACTGACAGCAGGGAGGAGGAAGACCCACCCTCACAGAATCAGCCAGAATCAGCCATTGGTCAGACAGCTCTCTGTGGCCAGTGAAGGCGGCTGCAGTTGGTCAGACAGCTCTCTGTGGCCTCTCTCTGGAGGCGGCTGCAGTTCCCAGTCCTTTTGGTTTCTGCAGCCCCTGGACTGGAAGCAGAAGCCCAGAGCACGGGGAGCACCAGGAATGCTGGGAATTGTAGTTCTGGTGGCAGACACGTTGTGGTATCTCCTAGATGCTAGAGTCTAACAGTGGTTCTCAACCTTCCTAATGTCGCAACCCTTTAATACAGTTCCTCATATTGTGGTGACCCCCAATTTAATTGTTACAAATTGAATGTAATTAAAGCATAGTGATTAATCACAAAAACAATATGTAATTATATATGTGTTTTCTGATGGTCTTAGGCGACCCCTGTGAAAGGGTCCTTCCACTCCCAAAGGGGTCGCGACCCACAGGTTGAGAACCAATGCACTAGAGCAAAGTGAGCCTGGAGCAAGTTACTGTTGCAGGTGGGGGATGGAGGGAAAGCAAAGGTGAGAGACATATATAAAGTCAGAGTGTCGAGGAAAAATTAAAGGGAAGATATCCTGCAACATCTAGGAAATCTCCACCAATGGAGCAAAGAAAAAAAAAGACCTCTACTATTCTGTGAGCAACAAACCAAACTAGGCTGAGGGACCCCCCCCCCACCCCCCGGTGCACGAATTTTGTGCACCGGGCCCCTAGTATTATAATAATATATGTAAATATATATTATGTGTATTATATATTATTGGTTGCTACAGAGATCACAGTCTACTTAGAATTAATATTTTGTCACTTCAAATGGAATATAGAAACCTTATTCTAAATAGATCCCTTTACTCTCATCTCTGTATATTGTAGTTTTTATATGTATTACTTCTACATACATTGAAACCCTCATCAGATAATGTTATAATTCTTATTTCTGATTTTTTACATATTTTAAGGAATTTAAGAGAAAGATAGTCTGATACATTTATGCAGATTTTTACCATTTTTCATTTCTCTTTCTTCATTTCTGATATTCCAGGTTTCCCTCCAGTATCATTTCCTTTTCATCTGAAGGATTCTTTTTAGTATTTCTTCTGAGTAGGTTCACTTGGACAAATTCTTTTTTTAAAAAATCATCATCTGAAGATATGTTTTTATTGATTTTAGAGAGAGAGGAAGGGAGAGAGAGAGAGAGAAAATCATCCATCGGTTGGCTCCTATACACACCCTGATTGGGGATTGAACCCAAAACCTAGGTATGTGCCCTGATTAGGAATTGAACCCACAACCTTTTGGTGTGTGGGACAACACTCCAACAACTGAGCCACCCAGCCAGGGCAACACATTTTTTTAAGTTTTCTTTCATCCGAGACTATCATATGTTCACTGGATATTAATTCTGGGTTGACAGGTCTTTTCTTTTATTATTTAAAAAAAGTGTTTCACTTCTTTTTGACCTCCATGGTTTCTGTTGAGAAATCTACCATTTTTGAATCCATGTTTCTTTGTATGAAATATGTCTGCTTTTCTTTAATTGAATTCAGGATTTTTTTCCTTTAATTTTCAGTAATTTGATTATGATGTGTTTAGGCATGGATTTCTTTGTGTTTATCCTCTCTGGGGTATCTGAGCTTCTTGAATTTGTAAGTTTATGTCTTTTAACAAAATTTGGCAAGTTTTTCATCCATTATTTCTTCAAATATATATATATTTTACTGTTTTATTGCTTAAAGTATTACAAAGAGTATTATATATGTCTCCTTTTTTCCCCCGCCCTTGACAATCCCCTGGCCTCCCCTAC